CTATTTCCAACAGCTTTCTTGATTCTGACGTGATTCCGACAGGGGACGACACCTTTCCTGATCCGTGGCCTGCTCTCTTGTCACGTCAACATCGCCATGCAAGTTCCTGGAAGTTCCATGGACGACCGCTGGAAGCGTAAACAGCGACCCGCGAAGCATCCGAGAAACAGCGACCGCCGCCGAACCATCCATGCCCGCCAATTCGTAGTTTCTTCGCCAATTTCGCGAAGAACAAAGGCTTCTCAGCTCTTCCGTCCTCTTTCTCTGTCTCCCCTGACAGCTTCAGATCATCCCCCACACCTACACACCGCTCATGCACAGGGATCTTTTACTGAACAGAAGCGGATCTTCTTCTCGGGTTTTGTTTGGGAGGGCCATGAATTGACAGAGCGCGAGGGCGTTCGCGATCATCTCCACCGGGTCGGGCTTTGGGGTCGCGTCAGCTTCTTCTCTGCTTCCTCTCGGCCAAGCAGCCGTGGCGCAATCGGTACTCGAGTTGTTGCCGCGGCCTATCGCCCACCGCAGAACGGTCTTTACCAGATATAGAGCGAAACAGATAACAACATTCGCGGCAGAAGCTGTAGGCGAACCAGTCGGCGATCGGTGAGTGGACCATCAGCGCATGCGCCGCACCGTTCTCTGCTGCATCGAGCGAGCCCTCACTGCTTGCTGGGTTCGCTCAACTCAGTCCAGTCAGAGTGGGACAGAGTCGCTCGTCGCCGTTGTCGAAGGTCTCAAATCGCCATCCATTTCGTCGAGCTAAATGTGGTCAGCTTTCAACAAGAGTCGGATCGGATTCATGCGGCAAGAAACTGCCCATCAAAGCTCCCTCATCTTCCAGACTAGCCTCGGAACTTACGGTGGGGGAGTAAAAACAGAGACGGCGGAGCGTTCGGTCTATCCCAGGTCTTCAGTGAGCTTCGAATTCTTCTCCGGAGAACCTCACGCGCCACCGCGTCTCCCAAGTCGTTTCTTTCCGGTCTGTAAAATTGGTTTTGATTCATTCTAGATTTGTCTACTGATTTCTGCTCTGTTTCGTTTTATTGTCGTGCCATGGGGTCGCGGCATCACGCCCTTTACGAGTCATCGCGCCATACCCTCGGACTGGCGCCTAATTGTATTGGACTTCACGTTGCCGCCACGGTCGCCGGGCGCGCCGCCGTCCCCCGCCGAGCGGATCCTCGTCCATTTATACTTCACGCCGAGCTTGATCGCTGTTCAGAGGAACATGGGCTGGTGAGGTATGTTCGATCAAAGCCTCGAATTAGGATTTATTGGCTTGAGCATCCAGTGAGGGTTAGAGATTCTGGCTTAAATGATGTTGCTTGCTTGAAACTTAAGCTGAATAAAGTGAGTTACAGTTAGGGGAAGGTGAATACAAAAGACAAACAAGAAGAACAGAGAGCGAAAAGAAGTACAGGGCGGATGATTAATAAAGACAAGAAAGTACTTGGCATGAAGAAATATACCAAAAAAGGTATTAATAAAAAAATTAAAAAAATTATTAGATTTCATTTAGGTGTTTCATTACTAGTTTCATTATTAGTTTAGTATACTTACTAGCTCCATTCTTATCGTATTAGAATTTGTCTTTCATATTATTTTGATAGGCTTTACTAGCATAACAGTTTTTGGGTTACTGTTAGAATAATATAATGCTGTGAACCACCGATTCTTGAAGAAATGGATCCTATAATAATTTTTAATTATTTGTTATTTATTTTTTTGTGACTTAAAACAATATGTTATTCATTACTAGTTTCATTATTAGTTTAGTATACTTACTAGCTTCATTCTTATCATATTAGAATTTGTCTTTCATATTATTTTGATGGGCTTTACTAGCATAACAGTTTTTGGGTTACTGTTAGAATAACATAATGTTGTGAACCACCGATTCTCGAAGAAATGGATCCCATAACAATTTGTAATTATTTATTATTTATTTTTTTGTGACTTAAAACAAGCTGTTATTCTTACAATAAATAAAAAAACTGTCACATAAGCAATTCCCTTAATAAATTTACATTTATTGATTTAAACGGGGTCCTATTCCGAGGCTTAATAACAAAACCCTGATTAATTTTGCCGAATACGGCTTGGGTACTTTGTCTTCCTTGACATACATTCGGTTTACCTGCTTTTATTTATTATTGCTTGGTTGTTTGTTTTTATTTCTTGAGCACCACGCATGGTGATCCTATTTCCACATGTTAAGGGTTTCGGTAATAAAATTGATGGAGATCGTATATTAAACGTTTTTATAAAGAGATAAGGTATCGAAAGAGCGCTATATTAATCTGGCATAACCAAGTATCATATTTAAAATCTTTGGTTCGTGGGAGTAAGGCGGACTCCCGCACTTACTCGGGCTACTAAGCGGCCTCTAATAGGTTAGTGGCGGCTCTTAAGATAATATAATTTCCATAATTAATCGAGGAAACCAAGTTGCGATCGGTAGGGCTTGAGAGAGTCCCACCAAGTGCAAGTGCCGCCTCGCATTCGTGCCCGCTTGGCAATCATAAAGCAAGGGTGAGCTGGATCGCAGCTTCAATGAGCTGCGACGGCCTGATCACAGTTAGCCTTCTGAAGCGGGACCCACCTTGGAAGTGGTGCTAGGACATTGGATTCAAGTTCAAGACTAAGCGCATAGAGATTTCATAAAATAATCGAAGAATAGATCCTGCTCCCCGATGTCGCATATCATGGCATCGAGTTCGACATTGCATCGACAAGATGGGAGGGTCACAAGGGAGGGTCGAGATGGAGGCAAGAGACGTTTGACGTGCAAATATTTCAGTTTTATCAATGTTGGTCAGATCGAAATGTTCATATATTTATATAGAAAAAATTTTATAAGTTGTAAATTAATGTGTGATTTAAGTGACAAAGTGATGTGAGGGAAGTGTATGAGAGGCAATATTGAGTGTTTATTTGAATGATTATTTTTAATTAATCATGTACGGTTTTAGTTTTCCTAAAATGTTGTAACTATTTCCATTTCTTGCAACTATTATTGAATATCATAGTTTATAAATTCACATACCAAAAAGAGAGTTTATAAATTCACTTTTTTAGTTTTTAAAATTTTTAAATATAAAATGGATAACGACACAAATGAGCTCTGAATTTTGGTCCAATGTGCAATATGGTCCACGAACTTTAAATTTGTTCAATGTGGTCCTTGAATTTTAGCCAAATGCATAGTTTCGTTCTTCAACTTTAAATTTGTTCAAAGTGGTTCCTGGACTTTTGGTAAATATTTAATTTAGTCCATGGACTATATGATATTCAAGGGCTACATTGAACAAATTTAAAATTCAAGGATCATATTACATAACGAATCAAAGTTTATGAACCATTTGTGTCATTTAACCAAATAAAAACAGTGGCTCGGGTCAATCGTGCCCGTGCCTAACATGTGGTCTGGCATGGCCCTGTGGTCAGCCCTGGCTACACGACACAAACATGAAATGCGAACATGAATATTCGACGTAATTTAGAGTTAGGGGTGAAATGTTACGGCGAATCCTTCGAACGCATTGAAACTCCACCACTGTCATTGCAACCAACCCGATTCACCATTAAACCGCCATGAGTCTCATTGAATGAATGGCACTCTCACTTATTCTAGTCATATTCTGTAAATGAGTCTTAAGGTCTCTCTCTCAATGAAAATTTCCTGTCTTCAGAAAATACTTTTAGGAAATTCAATTTCAAAGAAAGTAAGCCATGTCCTAGTCTTTGTTTACGTTGAAAATAAGTTGAAAAAACTGGTTTCACTAAAGGCTGCTTATAACGTTAGAAATGACATTTGATGACTAATAAGCTGGAATTGACATCTTTTCTATTTTTTTATTCTGCAATTCATCAAAATTACAAGAATTACAAAGAAATTAAGAAAGCAATTATGAAATTACATTTGTAAAATATTATAAATGATCGTATTTTCTGGAAATGTTGAAGAACATGAGCATCGGTGAAGTATATCCAGGAAATGGTAGACTAGATTTATGGAAAAAAAAACATACGATACTTATCCCAAAAAAAAATTGATGAGACACATAGAGCCGAGAAGATAGAAAATAAGAAATTAGAGAAAATGAATCCCTTCTCGCCAGAAAGCAAGATAGTTTTTTTTTCCCAAACCAAGCATGTTTTTCGATCTATAGAGATCATTTTTCCATCGATCGAATAGTTTTGCCGCCGTCCAAACACCGAAAAGTCCAGGAAACAATTTCCTGGAAATGGTCTTTCATCAGACAAGCCGACCCTCGATGAAGCGATTGATCCGTAGCTGAAGTCAATCGATCGAGTTCACATCTTTCTAGGAACAACCCCAACACCATCCGAGGCGTTCAAAGTTATGTCCAACAGATCAGGACAAGCATGCTCTACTTTCCTTTCCCACATAATCTTTGGTCAACGTTTCGAGTCTCTTTCTAACCCCTCTGTCAAGAAACCAGTAAATTTCCACGTCTCTTTCCATTGGCTTTTCTTCGTCCCGATGTGATTCGGACATGGACAACGCATTTTCCGAATCCGAGGCCTGCCGGTCTGCATTAAACTATGCATAGTATTCCGAACCGCCAAGCCCTCTCCTTCGTCAACATCACCCTGCAACTTCCCGGAAGCTCCATGGACGACCCACCTAAAGTGTAAACAAACGACCGCGATGCATTAAAGAAGCAGAGAAACCTCCAACCACTTGCCGCCGCTAAGGTTTCTCTGCACGCCACTGTGTAGTTTCTTCGCCATTTACGCGAAGAACAAGACTTTGCGCTCCTTTGTCATCTTTCTTGATGTCCCTCTGCTTATATATCCATGCCCATGTTGGTTAATCAAATCGAATCCTTCCTAACAGCTTGAATCGGTGACTGCCTCTCGCCTTTCCCTCTCCTCTCTGAGGCATTCTGTCAAACAAAACAGCGGCCAACGCTTATGGGCGTTCGGGCCTACAGCTGCAACATCATTCACAGACTGAACAAGTGGAGCAGGCGATGGAACTCCTCTTCGACCCAGTCGCACTCCTGGGCATAGTCGCTGTCCTGGTGTTGGTCAACTCGGTAATCGTTTTGCAAGACCACTCTTCCTACCTCCGCTGCATCGTTCAAGCCCTCCCCTGCTTCTTTCTCGTGACGAGACGCGATTGTTGCGCACACAATGCAGAGGCAGCAGCCCCAGATGGCCCGGACGAACGCCCGTCTTTCCGCGAGCAAAGAATCGCGGAGCCACCGGCGGCGGCGGCCCGCCCATCTTTCCGCGAGCAAAGAATCGCGGAGCCACCAGCGGCGGCGGCCCGCGGCGCGAGGATCCCCCACGAGGACGCGGACCTCTCCAGGGGCGAGGTGAAGATGGTGATGAAGAGGCTGGGGATCTTCGGCGTCGCCGACGACCCGGGCGACGAGAAGCTGCAGGAGCGAATCGGGGCGACCGAGATCGCCCGGGTGTTCGAAGAGGATGAGGTGAGCCTGGAGGAGGTGAAGGAGGCGTTCTACGTGTTCGACGGGAACTGCGACGGGTTCGTGGACGCGAGGGAGCTGAGCGACGTGCTCCGGGCCCTGGGCTTCGTGGATCTGTCCGAACGTGATTGCGGAGATCTGATCAAGGCCTTCGACGAGAACGGGGACGGGCTCATCGACTTCAGAGAGTTCACCAAGCTGGTGCAGAGGAGCTTCCGGCATTAGAAGGCCCGGGAGGGCGGGCGGCGCGGGACCTCTGGACCGCGCCTGTGTTACATGCATCGGGTCTCGACACGTGTTTGATTTTTTTGAAGTTCACCACGGGCCGGGTGCGCACGGGGCGTGTCGTTTACTTCGTATTGAACTGTGATCGTGTCAAGAGAGCAATGTTGAGATTGTGTATCAGATGGATCTATGTACATACTCCATCCAATGTGACTTTGATGTTCGATTTGAATAAAATTTCCAGAGATCTGTTCCTGTTATCTGTTGTTGTCCTGTGCCCGAACAATGAGAGCAACCTCGAAACATCGGGAAATAGTTTATTTTCGTACTTTCCTTAAAGGAACAACGTGAATGAGTTGATAAAAAAAAACAGAGAAAATGGATTATTAAACAAAAAAAAAAATGAATTTAGCAACATCAATTTGGAGAAGATCAGCAGGATAAGTACTGCGTATACTTAATCGATTTTATTGACGTGCAAGATAGAATTTAAAGCAATGAACAGATGCATTCAAATTCCAAGCTATGTTAGTCCTCAGATTGATTATTGTTCTGATTGTTGGGGTGCGGTTCATACTCCCCACTGACAGGAAGGCGGGAGTCGTGGGGGCAGCGCCCTTGAGCCGCTAGAAGGCCTTCATAAGTTTTTTTTGGTTAGAATGGCTTTCATAAGTTGGGCCCGTATTTTATTGGACCCACCCATGGGTAGCTCAGTTGGTTAGGGCGTACTTGAGATTGTGTGGTTAGGCGCACTAGTCCCAGGTTCGATTCCCAGCTGAGCACTTGTGATTTAAGTGGGGAGCCATGGCGGTGGATTGCTGTGCAAGTCTCCCTCGATGAATAGTCGAGGTGCACCCAAGCTGGCCCGGACACCTCGGTTACCAAAAAAAAAAAAGTTGGGCCCGTATTTTATTGGTAATTTGGGCTCGAACTCATGAATAGCAACTGAGTGGGCTAGGGTTTTTTTGTGCCATCTATATATAATATCTTTTTATTACAATTGAAAGTTGTAATTAGAGAAGTGGGAGGTGCTAATTATAATAGAATGTTATGTTGAATGTAGCCCTAGTTTAAGAGTGAACCAAGACCTTGTGCTCGATTTATCTTTCTCGTCTTTACTCTCTATTTCGTTCTGTTTGCGTGCTTAATCCAAACACCGATTTCTCCATGGTAATAAATTTGACCTACCAATGTATATGTGACACACATCTTTAATTGACCCGACAAATATTTTCATTTTACCTTCTACCCAACGGTATTGCCAATTGAAGGCTGTTTACACCAAAAAATGACCCACTCTTTCTAATCGACGTGAAGTTCTTTTGGTTGAATGTAGGACTTGGCGATGAGATCGATACAATTATCGACAAGTGATGTGATGGTCACCAACGGTTTTATAATGTAGTTATTGACAATGGCAAGACTAACCTAGGACTACGAATAACATATTAATGACTGTATAATATAGCTATCGATACACGATGTTGAATAGTCAACGAACATATTGATTCGATAATATAAACAAATACATGGCCGATGACATAGTAACTTTATCTTAGTGTTTTGATGCAGGGAAATGAAGAAAGGAGACAAAGTGAAGATGCCGATTGAAGACGAAGATATATACCAATTGATGGTTAAGTGCAGTGGCACTTAAATAGTTATAATTTCCTATTGATAAGGTTGACATGCGACCATGAGATCTAAAATTGTGGAATTGCATATGTAACTTTATGTAAAGTATTGACTGCTTATGAGCCTTTATGTTTAGGAGATTATAAACGGCAATGTGTAGTTTATTGGAGAGGGATCCACAATCATCAAAAATTAAATTCTCTGTGTACATTTCAGTTTCAGCATTTATAGTCTTGTATTTCTAAATTTATCGGTCTTCATCCTTGTAACGCAAATCCAATTCCTATCCAAATCGCCACCAAACCCGTTTAACAAAAAAAAAAAAAAAACCCAAAGATCAACTTTCGGTAAAAGATTTTTCAATATTTGGGTCAAATCCTGACTCCTGGTGAAGCAAAGGCGTTCTTGACGACGAGTGACCTTACCCTTACCCAACTCAATCGGAGCCTTTGTGCCGGTGAGCTCGGAGTTACAACGGTCTCACCATCGCCCAAAAACCGAGCATCTATCGGTTCTTCGTCGATGGCTTTAACCGCCGCCCGATCAATAAGCGCTAATTTGACGCTAGCACGACAGAATAAGACGGCGGGAGCCTTTCTACTGATAGGAGGAAATCTCCACCTAGAAGGCCAGCTCGCTACCCAAGTTATTTCCTCTTTCAACGCTCATCAACCTTAAGCATCGAGGGTCAATCCAGATCCTAAACTTGGATTTCTTGACCCCGCTTTCTGTGGGTGCGTGAGACCTCGTTCAGGTAGGGCAGCCTTGCCATCTAGACCATGCGTCTCTCCATTCTCCATTCGTCGATCGCCACGTATCCAAAGGGGGCCCTCTTTTCAGATCTGAGCTGTTTCGGTCCCTTGTGATTGCGTGAATCCCTGTTTTCATGCACAGAGCATTCATCTTTGCTCTTGTTTTATTGTGGGTATGTGTTCTGCTCTGTTTTTGCGTTCTGTTTATACGCAGTAAGTTGCAGGGTTTTAATAGGATTTCTTGGTGAGGAGAGGACATTTCGCGAGAGGATGGTTTTGATTTCTTTGTGAGAATGCGAACCGGTGACTTGAGGAGCTGAAGTGCGACAAACAATCTTTGCTGCCCCGCTCCCACGGGGAGCGTCCGCGGCGGTGAGAACATTACCCATAGGTAGTACTCCGCCTCGCTCGGGAACTTGGAGTTCTTGAAGTGCTCCTTCAACGCCTCCAAACCCTTCTTCCTATAAAACCCAATTTCCATTGACATCCATGGCCTCAAGAGGCGTAAAGAAACCAAAGAAAAAGTGAGAGGAGAGAGTAACGGAGGAAAGCGAAAGTAGGTCACCTGGATACACGACGATTAATGAGTAGAATGACAAATAGCCTATGTTGCAAAAATAGCCTACATTGCAAGATCGGCCCTAGTTTTAACGTGTTGAATTTACAGGTACGTTTATTCCACAGATGCGTTTCTTGTTTTCCGCACGCCATGTCCTTCAATTTCCCAAATTTTTGTCTTCTTTTAAGGAAAGAATGCACTCTAATTATTTTACATTCTAGGGATCTTGAGACTCAAGACGAAACTTTCTAAGGACATGCTTACATTCTGGGGATTCCGGGACTCGGGACGAAACTTTTTAGGTACATGCTTAGGCACACTATATCTTCTCCAACAACATTAGTCTCATTCTTGCTACTATCGGTGAAAGCTGCAGGACAAATCATATAACAAAATAAATTTCGGTTTCAGGGGAAAGTTGATAATCGAGACGAACTTCAGGGGCCAAAACATAATTATTTTCCAGAGGTTGAAAGCCATCTTGCTTCTGCCCGAGATACAACTGACAACGTTAGCCGCCGCGCCTTGCATCCATCTGTTTTCTCTACCTTGCGAGCGGAGCCTCTTCCTTGAAATCTCCGGCACCGGTGCATACTGTAATCTTTCTTCTTTTCTTGTTGGGCCATCTCTCTCTCTCTCTTTCTGCAATCAGACCACTTCTTGGCGATTCGGACTTCAGATCCGCAGGCGCCCTCTTCTTGATGCTATGCACTCAGCGTAAAAGGTGAGGTTTTGAACTCTTGATGAAGGTCTTAGCCCTTTTTCATTCGTCCCCATTTGATTTCTAGCTAAATCTCGGATGGGAAACGTTGTAGTCAAGTAGAGCAACGAAGTTGTAGATTGGAAGTAATCTTTTTTTTCCTGCAATGGTCATGTTTTTGCGTGGAAAACAGGATCCGATTGAGCGTTGTTGGTGAATTTAATGTTCTTTAAAGATGGGTTGCGCTTCTCCTCCTCGTGTGTGCGCGCTTCGCAATTTCGGGATCATCTGTGATCTTTCGCGCGGCGATTTGCTCTCGATCGCCTGGTTCTACCGGTTCCTGAATGCTCCTCTTGAAAGCATAGAGGTTGATGGAGCATTAACGAAAGAAAGTTCTTGCTTTTGAGTTCTTGCTTAGCGACTGTGTCAGAAATTTGGTCTCTTGGGTTATGACAATTCGAGGTTTGAAATGTGTGTATGGCGTGAAGTTTCACTGTAACTAGGTACAAAGTGTTTAGCAGAAAACACCGACAACTTAATTGATTCAGAACTCGAGAAAGGCAAGATATAAATGGGGGGACAAGGCATAGAATGTGCATGGTGATGGCGTGTATTCTCCTCATCCATTTACTTTGGTTGTCCCTGATGTTTGTCTGTTGTCTTAGTAGATTTATTTAGTTGCTTTAGTGTCCATCTACCTGCAGATACCTATATGTATTTTCAAGTTCCAATCATCTTGAAACATTATTGCTGAAAGTTCTTCTACCAAAGAAAGAGAAATTTATTGCTGAAACTCTGCTTTTTGATGTGGAAGAAAACTTGCAAAACAGGGCAATCCTTTTCAGACTGGAAAGACAATCATGATCCTGCTTTTGAGCATGTCTCGCTGTATCAATGGTATGGGATCTCCTGTTATGGGATATACTGCCTATTAAGAGTAGAATCTGAGAGGCGTGATCTAAGATCAAGATGACTATACCTCAAAGCCAAAAAATTGGACGTCCATTGATGAAGCTTATCAGATTGAGAGAATGGCCTATTCTGCAGCAGCTGCATATTGAGGAGCAGTTACTTCGGACCTCGTCGGAAAATTGGTGTATTATAAATGATGGCACTAGGGCACCTACCATTGTCATGGGTGTTTCTGGGTAAGTTTTTATGGTCACTTTTGGAGCGTTTTCACCTAATATCTTGTGAAGATGATTCATATTTTCTTTTCCTTTATGAACTTGATATGTGTGGATTGTGACATTATAAGCTGAGAGTTTTCTCTTGCTTATACTCGGTGCGCTTTAGTTTGGTATTGGAATGCTTATATCGCTCTATGATTTATCCAGCCACCTGTGGCAAAGTTTTTAGGAGTATAATGAGCTTAGATCCTGTTTTCATCCTTACATTGATCTATCACCATGGAACATCCTGTTGGACCTGGTGAATCACTAACACTAAACATGACGTTTCCATATTAGTACGACTTTTAATCATGAATGTGAACAAGCTTATGCCCGACCTTCTTTGTTACTCAGTTAAGCCTCGGCTTGTGGTTGTTCTTCATCTTTCTCGAAGCTTTTGAAGTGTCGATAGGTTAGGCTACTCATTCATGTCGTATGGCCTTTTAATCTGTCTGCATGATTAGAATTGTATTGATAATATTCTGATATCGCGTATGGATGAGTTTGGCAGCATTTGTTTTGAGATTCAGTCTCTGAGCAGTGAGCCTTTAGAAATATAGAAGAGACAGAACATGTAATTCTTGTTCATTTTTTATCAAAAAAACAACATGGCCGAATACTCGGGTTGTTCTAGTGTCAAGGCTTCCATCGTGTGGAGTGAAGAATTGGAGCCAGAAGGAGAGGAAAATTCCTTCCCGTGTCTCTGAGACAGATGGGTTTACTTTCTGCTTTTTAAGCAAAAGTCTTACGTTAACGAGGATGCCGCCATTAATCAGTTATTGGCATTGATTCATAAGTTAGACAGGTGGCACCCACTCTGCCTTCCGACAGTATTTCGCCCATCACTGTAGAAATAAATTTAAGACAAAAGTGACTATGAAACTATGTGCACTAGTTTGTGATTTATACTTGCTTTATACGTTGATGAGATGTGTTCTGCTTGGATATAATATAATTTAATAGAGTAAATGCATATTTTGCATAGGAAACCTGCCGAACTACTTGAAATTAAACCAGTGTTACACGATCAGGTACCTGTCATCAAAAGGTTCACTGGGGGAGGCACTGTTATAGTGGATGGTGGGACAATCTTTGTTACTTTCATATGCAACAAGGATTCTGTCCCTGATTTGCAGCCGTATCCTCGACCCATCATGTCTTGGAGCAGCCTAATCTACAATGAAGTGTTCCAAGGAACTGGCGATTTCCACCTCCGCGAGAATGGTATTCACTTTCAAAACTTTCAATATGCCCAATTTCTCTATTATTGCTAGTCAAATGAAATTGTTTCATGTTTGCTTTTTTCAATTTATGGACAATTTGGTTTTTTCTACATGATACTATTTCTTTGATCATGGACTGTTCAAAATCGGCTGTGTTCCGATGTTGCTTCTTTCTTTGACTGCAAACGTCTCATCTTACTCTTTGGCACTCCTTGGAGGGTTCCGATATGATCTTGTTGCTGAGGGTTGTCGTGATGTCAAACATTTGACAGCTTTCAAATGCTTGCACTGGGGAATAGTTACTATTATAATCCGGTCTCTATTTTTTGTTTATTTTGTTTTTCTTTCTATTGATTTTGAAGGACAAAATAAAATTCTTGCCCTTGTTTGTCCCTAGTTAGATTGAGGTAAGTATCTTTCTGGAAATAGGAGCCTTGGCTCAAAGTTCAGTGCACTTTGATTACGGAAGTCTGATGTAGCATAAGGACCAAACTCGATGATGTGTCAGCATATACAGATAATTAGCAACTTAACCTTCATATGCTTCGAGGCTTTGATTGTTGTCCATGATATAACAGGAGTCTCCTTTGAGATAACCTTTTTGATGATGTGTTGGCTTTCAAATGTTCTTCAACCTCTCTTGATTGTCCTTGCGATGAGTCATATTCGACACTAATGTTGTGGAGACTTTTGATATCATGGAGTGTTTATTTTCAGCACATCAATTACAATGCAAAATTTGTTAATACTTATTGTCGCAGTTGGAAGTTCTATTCTTTTCTCTTTGATTAGGCACTGTTATGGTTAAATGTCCACATGGTTGAAAGTTTTATTTGAAAAACTTATCAAACTCTAATAGCGCACACCTCTACCTATTCTAGATTACGTGTTTGGCAGTCGCAAGTTTGGAGGGAATGCGCAATCCATCACTAAAGGCCGGTGGATCCATCACACATCTTTCTTGTGGGACTACGAGATCAGAAACATGGCTTATCTGAAGCTGCCTTCACGTGCTCCCGAATATCGATCAGTATGCTAAGTATTCACTCAATTTCGTGTTTCTCGATCTGCTCTCCTGTCAGCCCAATAACCAGAGTATATCCAGGCTGGACCAAAGAAGAATTTAAATTCATTCTCGGTCGCCAAAAGCTTTTAGCCACATCAAGAAAAAAAGTCAAAGTTGCAACAAGTTGACATACTTGAAACATTTGCCATTATTTCCCCCCTTTCCCAGTCAGACTCTGCAAATGATTGTCTTTTACTTTTTCTGATATAATTTCACTTATGCTGGCTTGTTCTATGAGGGTACGATTCTAATTAGAAGCAATTCGATTTTTCTAACGGCATGCTTCCTCTTTAGGCAAGGGGCCATTTGGAATTTATATGTCGCATGAGGGACTACATATCAAGGTCAGATTTCATCGACAGAACAATAAGGGCACTTGGAACCCATTTTTCTGTGGAACCTGAAGAGTTGGAAGCAATTCAATCCGTGCCGAGCACAAAGTTTTCCCCCTCATCCAGGCTACTGACGACACAGGAACTAGAATCGGCATTATGTGAATTAGAGTCTCCGAAGTCTCTTGCTTGTTCCTCATCTCCATGATAATTTACTGATGCTGTTTCTTCTACCAAGCTATTTAACATTCTTCCTAATGCGAGAGTTCTAAATGTATGATTCTTTTCCCTGTACTGTGATTTGCAACTGTCATTGTACTTGAACTCCGTTATCAGACTTTCTGAATTCGAAACTGGTAAAATAAACTGGAAAGCATTTTCGTTTTTTACAATTTGGCTTTTCACTCTGACGCCAGAGTATGAAGGGAGCTTTTGGATGTGGTCTTGCAAGTTTGTTTTCTGGGTTTATCATTGATACTGCAATGCTTATGAGTTTTTTGCGGATTAGTGTTCATTGTCGCCTATTGAATCTTTTTTTGTGCTCTTGGAAAATGAACATCTGAGTCTGAACATGTTCTCGCAGCTCTCCAATCCTTGATCAACCTTGAAGAGGGACTGAACTGAACTTACATTTGGTGATGTCGATAGGATCAAGAAATGCTTCATATTGGCAGAATCATGGATCAAGCAATACTCGTTTCCTAGTTCATCTTTTCCGCTTTGGCGATTGCCGAGGATCGAGCGAGAATTCAACATTCCGACTCCCACCCCTACCATGACAGCTAGGCCAACCATCTCGGGTTGACACGCGAATTAATCTCGACATAGCCTGCATAGTCTTTACCGTTTGTCATGGTTTTCTGTTGACTGTTTTTCTCCCGAAAAAAGGGGTTCTTTCGTTCTTTGTACTTCAGGGAAAAACCTTTATAAACACAAGTCTTGCGAGATGCATCATTTGGTAACACAAAACATACGACATCCATAAATATATCACACATGGAATGCACAATGGTATGTGATTTCAGCAAGAAAAAGGTGTGGCATGCACAATTGTATAAGACGTAAAAATCTTGCCCACATGGTAGAATGTAGGAGTGAGCATCGGGTCGATCTACCCGGGAAGCGGAACCTACTCGGGAATCAGTGTCCCAACATTCACCGATTCAAAAATGTATCACGCACAATTATAATGTGTGTATAACACGTGATAATATACGATAGAAAGAAACCATTTACGTAGCAAATACGTATTGGATTATGCTAGAGAATTCATTTTTGTGGTAAAAATGTCCCGAATGTGGTGAAAGGATTGTATTTGTGGTAAATATGTAATGCATGTTATAAAAAAAATTTAAAAAAACTCTCTTGCACATATGGAGGGTCAAACACGGTCTTCAACACGAAAAACCAACAATATAATCACTTAACCGATATATTTTTTTACAGTGAAACAGTGCAACGGCGATACTTTATCATAAAAACTCGATTTTTTTTAGACCCTAGTAGAAGGCGTGTGATTTGATACTTTGGATTTCAACCGTCAGTAACAGCCTCGGGTCTCATCCGTACAGTGTAAGCGGCAGGAGATTAAGGTTTTCTCTTTTCTTGTTCTTTCGATGTTTCGATGGTCCAAGGTTCGGTTTTTTCCCTCGTTTTTCGAGTAGGATGGCCATTTAACGGTCGCGTGGAAACGGGGTTTACGCCACCGCGAATTTGGTTTCCAGCGGAGATCCCGTTCTCTTCATTGCCCGCTCGGACAGTAAAACCTCTCTCTCTCTCTCTCTCTCTCTCTCTCTCTCTCTCTTCGGTCTCTTCATATCCCTACGCGCGCGCGCGCAAACACTCGCGCTCTGCGAACAAACTTGGTTGGCTCGGCTCGTTCCCACGACCGAAATCACAGCTTGTCCCTTCAACTGCAAATCTTGTAAGCTGAACACCCATTTGCCTTCTTCTTCTTCTTCCATCTTCTTCCTCCATCTTCTCGCTCTTCCGATATATCTCTTTCTTTCTTTTCTTTTCTATCTTTTTCGGTGCGTGTCTCGAATCTCTTTTCTTTTTTTGGGCCGCATTTGGTTTTGGAATTTGGATTAATCCGTGCCTCTGCGCCTTATCTTTGCTGAAGAAGCTTTCTTGTCGCTCTCCTTCCAATTCTTGATCAAACCATATACCCATCCCCTCCTCGTGTGTTTTCTTGTTCTGGGTTGCTCTTACTTTGTGATCTTTCGAGAGTTCTGCGGCAGAGGAAAACTGGGTTCGAATCTTTTCGGGCGATTAATTTCTCTCGAGCGGGGATCGGAAGAAAAGGAAGGAGGGAAAATCGTAGTTGTTCGGCTGCTATCTTCCGCGTTCTAGAGATTATCGATGGGCTCTTTCTTTCTATGATCACAAGTTGTTTCTTTTCGTAGTCAAGGTAAAGTATTGTATCAAGAGAAGAGATGAGGGGATTTGTTTCGAGACCGTGAGCGTTGGTACTTATTGGCTTCTTTTCGAATTTTTTTGTTCACGTGTAAGGTTATGTTGGCAGCTTTTAGATGTTAGGAGCTAGCTTAACGTATATTAATCTGAGCAATGGATGATAAATTTGTGGGATAATTTCATTTCTTCAGGATAGATGATAGAAATTTGGGGTATCATTGAATCAAAGGGTTCCTTGAAGTTTACAAGCATATGATGGAAAGGAAGAATTTCCTAAGGTCCTGTTGGCTAATTTGCAGATGGGTAGAGTTAAGCTAAAGATTAAGAGACTTGAGAACAGTAGCAACAGGCACGTGACTTACTCAAAGAGAAGAACCGGCATCTTGAAGAAAGCGAAGGAATTATCCATATTGTGCGACATCGACATTGTCCTTTTGATGTTCTCTCCGACTGATAAGCCCACATTGTTTCACGGAGAACGCAGGTAATCCGGGGACCAACATCATTTGTAGTTTCTGTCTTCAATAGCAGATTCAGTTGCATAATTAGGTCTTATAACATATTCAATATTTAGAACCTGGTGATTTACATCTTGGATCTTGCAACATTTTATCCCTTTTTCTGGATAAATAGAAAATCCCACCTTCATCGGTTATTTTGAGGTTAATATTACCAGGCATCACTGTACTTTTGCCCGAAAATCAAAACGGTCCATCTACTCTTTTTCGGTTCAAAACCGTCTTTCTACTATTTGAAATGCTTCGTGTTAGTCCATCGTTATACCTTTTCTATTGTCGATCGATTTTTACTGACATGGACAGGCAGATTGCTGATTTTGGCGTTTGAGTATACTTATCCTATCATGATTTGCAAAGCTTCTTTTAGGTGGCGCAAACAGGTGCCACATCAGCAACATAAAAATTAAATGGGGCCAGGGCGCTCGAGCTTCTTTGAGCTCGTGGCCATGGCTGCCCAAGCTTCATACTCGCGGTCATGGCCGCTCGAGCTTCCAAGTTTCTTCGAGCTCAGGGCCATGGCCGCTCATGCTTTGTTGAGCTCGAGAGCCATGGCTGCTCGAGCTTTGTGCTCATGGTCATGGTAGCAAATCGTCATCATGAGCAAGTATTTACAAGTCAGAGGTTTTGCATAGTTGGAGGTGTTGGATTATGTGGGTTGTGGTTCGGATTTGGTAGGTTTTAAGTTGAAGAAGAAGAAGATGAGTGCTGAGAGAGAGATTGTCAAGGGAAAAATATCCACGCAGTAAATTTTAACGGCGTTAGCGCCTCATAAGCAAATTCTGTCATTGGCCTGATTTACGATGACTGGTGCACTTTTAAAGGACGGTTGTGAACAGAAAAAAAGGTGGACAGTTAAGATTTTTGGGCAAAAGTGCATGGATCATTGGTAATATTACCCATTATATGGTGTTAAACTGGGGTTCATATGATGTTTCCACTTTTTTTCTTTGTTAGTCTTTCAGTTTTTGGTTTATGCTAACGTTTGTAGAAAGTAGACAATGTAATCTCAAAAGCAATTGTAGATGTTGGTCTTCCTTCAGATTAATGGGCATCGGCATGATGCTTCAATTATGCGCCCTATTAGTATGATTTTGTCAAGATTATGTTGGATATTAAGCAGTTCACATGGATGCATCCATCTAATGGGTCTATTACTTGTCAAAATCGAGCCAAAAGAGATGTTACGTAGTTAGAGTAGAAATGGATGGTTGCACATTGGAAAATGTCCATCCTCTGTGCATCTTGATACATTTTCTCTTTTCTTTTCACGTTGGGTAAGTAACTATTATCCATGTTTGAAGGCTGTTCAAAGCCTACATCTCATAGAAGATTTTCGTTTGAACTTAATTTTAACTGCGATAATGTTTGATCCTATGAATCTGGTTGTGATAAATTGCTGTCATTCATAGTCTGATACTTTTACGGAGAAAACATATTTTTCTTTATAAAGTTGTTGCAAATTTTGTACTGTGGCTTGGTTCTTTGACAAATTTATTATCAGGATCTTTATCGGCCGTTTCATTTTCATGTTTACATCATGATGACATGGTATTCTGCTGTGAGGCAAGCCTCTGAAATTTGAGCATAATGGAGAGCAAAGGCTATATGTGATATATAAAGCAATATTTTATGGATTGGAAGTGTACCTTCCTTTGGAAAATAATAATGTGATTAAAGTGTAAAGTATGTGGCAACATGACCGCTTATCATTATCTACTAAAAAATCCTGCTGCATGCCTTATGTTTCAGCAACATTGATGAGGTCATTGCGAAGTTTGCTCAGTTAACTCCTCAGGAAAGGGCAAAAAGGTGCCATTCATGCACTGTTTTACTTCTTTTTTTATTTTCATCTTACCTAGCTATGTTAATCTAACTAGTTTATGATGTTTCTCCTCCCAACTGGACAGGAAGCTGGAGAGCCTTGAAGTAAGATTTCTCCCAATCAACTTCCATAGAAGATATAAATTGCTGTTTTTTGTGGGTCAATTGGTTCGTCCTCCAATTTATTTTTGACATGTGTAGGTTCTGAAGAAAACCTTTAAGAAGTTGGATCATGATGTCAATATACAAGACTTCCTTGGTACAAGGTTCGTGATTACTTTTGGGAAGTGTGTGGAATTTCTTCTGCATAATGTTTAAGAGAGTAGTAATCGTTCTGTTGTTTCATCTCTTTGCAGCAATCAAACGGTCGAGGTATCAAATCATTGCTAGCATTAGTGGTATTCATGAGGTGCTGGAATTTTCTCTGCACCGCCTTCTGCATAAATAAACTTACTTGATTGTAAATGATGTACAGGAAATGACTAATCAAGTAAGGCTGCTGCACAGTCAGCTAGCTGAAACGCAAAAGAGATTGAGGTGCAAAATTTGGAGCTTTTTGTTTTAAAAGTATCTGTTTCTACTTTTATCCTCGTTGATATCTATTGTGATGAGCACATGTTGGATCCTATCGCTGCTATCATGTTCCTTTAGTCTATTATAATCTTAATTAGTGGGTATTGCTTCAGTCATTGTTTGACCTGTTAAATCATAGTCATAAGTAGTGTGTCAGATTATTTAATGATATCGTAGTTGAATGGATTTACATGCTTATAAAAAAGTGGGTGAGTGATGTAGAAACCTAGTCACATCCCTCAGACCTAGGATATTTTGCCTTTCTATCTAGATGAGATGTTCATATCCAGATGGCAAATGCAGTGAGCTTGATCTTTCTACCTAGTTGGGTACTTTGTTAATATTTGGGTATGAATCACAATAAGTAGCAACACCATGAAAGATCATGAAAGAAATCTATGTATTTTCATTTCGCTAAGTCCACTTCTCTGTGCCATTGTTTCAGCTGCTGGAGGAATCCGGAGAAGATTGATGATGTAGAACAACTCAGGCAGATGGAAGACTCGCTTAGGACCTCTATAAACCACATCCGACAGCACAAGGTATGTTACTTAGATTACAAAGTCTGAATCATTTTCTATGCTACAGTCACTCACCTTGCATTTAAAATGCTTGTTTTCCATATTATGCAGTGTCGTTTTTTGCCAAAAAAGAAAAAAAAATTGAACTTTCCAAACCTAAAGCTATCTGGAGAAAACAGATTTTGAAACTCTAAATTAGAATGACCTTAGGCCAATTCTCTTTTGACAAGAGGTGGTTTTATACAAAAGTTCCTGTGTCTTCTCACCAGGAAAATGTTGGTAAGCATCAAGCTATGTCATTGGAGCGAACAAATCAGGTAACAAGTTTGTGACACAATGGAATTTCTGTGCGAGTGCACGTGCTTGTGAGTGCATGCGGGTGCATTGAAGTCTTATACTCTTGAATCAGGGATGTGTTCTTTACATCCTTGCACTGCTAACTTGTACAGCGATATGCTTGTTTCATTGTGATCTTATACAAAGTAAATTGCATTGCAGTTTGAAAATGCTATGCCTTTACCTTTCATTATGAGTGGGATGCCAGAAGCACAGCCTTTATCCTGGCTTCCAATAAATGAGAACCAACACTTGCTATTCCAAAACGACCCTCACTATCTTCCTGAAGGGTGAGTCTCTTCTTTACAAGTAAATTTAGAATCCTATCCACCAATATTTTGTGTTTTGTGAATGTGCATGATTTATGAACTTCCCCGACGTTGTATCATCAACTTGCTCTGATGCTAGTGTTGAAATTCAGGATCTAGATTTGTATTTGTTATATGATTTGGTGAAGTAATTTGATGTGAGTTAATTAAAATCCATAACCCAAGGACTTGATGTGACATTTTCGCAGACCCATTGACGGCTCCGCAGATGTCTCCCTCCCAGGGTGCTCTGCTTACTTTGGAGTGGATAAGCACCCCGAAATCGGAAATTTAGGGCAAGTTCAAAATATGGTACAAGAAGGCTGTATTTTGAATGAGTTAAACAGGAATGCATGCTTAAGTCTCCAAGTTGGTGAACAATATCCATATGCTCCATATGGCAACCTAACTTTACCAGATGAGAAGAAAATGAAACAAGAGATAGGAATGAACTTCCAAGGACACCATGTAGATTATCAAGTCGCAAGCAATAAGATGGAACAAGAGATAGATATGAGTTTACAAGGACATCCCGTAGATTATCAAGTTACAAGCAATATTGAACTGCAGAGGCCAATATATGACAATGGGCATCATCATTGGTGTTCAGTTACTGCCCCCTGTGGAATTGCTATGTATAACGGAAACCCCTTCAATCAGGTGAGTGATTTGACCATTTTGTTGTACTCAAGTTCAACCTCTCATGGTTGTTAGTCAGATGAGTCATTACATAATGCGCTTCCTCTGTATTAGTCTAGATTTGCTTCAATTTGCTGAAATAGATTTTAAAGTTTCCATCCGTACTAGGGTGGCTGCAACATTTGGGCTCCATCTATGTTTCTGTTTCTCAGTATGTTTGGTCTCATTAAATAATGCATCTTGTATATACTCTTCATTTGCTTGAAAATGTAAGCTCAGGTGCCTTTCAATCTCAATTTTTCTCATGTCATGTGTGGATATATATAGGTATTGCATATACACAGTCGGGCTATGTGTTATTAGCAATCAAAACTTGTGTCCTTTTTTCCTAATGCCTTTGTCACTTGAGATAAACCAAATCTATTTAACAGATGTTGAACAAGTAAAGCAACTCTACGTTGCAGTCATTGTGCTCAATAGAGACAAACCCTCTTTGTCCATCATTTCTCTCCCTTCAAATACTTCTTGCGTTTATTAAGTTGGAGGATCAGCTATCATGAACCTCGGCTATAACTCTTCTCTTTATTACCTTGCAGCAATCCGATTGACGATGTTCACAAGTCTACCTTGTTTCTCCTATACTGAGACTGGTAGCTGAAGGCATATTATTTGCATCAGAGTTGAAGGTTTTCTCCAAATAGTTACTCTGATGTTGGATTAAAGTGCACGGGTATGAGATGGAAAACTTGTTCCATGAAGAGAAACCCAAGATATCACGTGGCGGCAGGTCCTTTTTGTAATTTCAGCTGCAGGATTTGTAAATAATGTATTCAATATAGGAGCACAGATTTATATACTTTGTAGGTGGGATGGCTTTTGCAATTCATCCCTGTTTCTCCTTTGTATACCAATCCCAAAGAAATCTCTCATTTTCACTGTAAATGAAACTTTGCTAGAAAGAATGGATGTAAGCATACATAAATTCACCATCCCCGATTCTTGTTCTGATTGTAACACTCTTTCTTCATTTGATAACTCAGCAGGTGGCCTTAGATTGGGTATTGAAAATAAACTTGCATGAAAAGATTGATTGCTAGATCAATGACCTTGTACAGAGGAATTCTTTTTACACAGATGTCCAGAATATATTACTCATAAACATCATTTGATCATCGCGGTAAACAAACCAGGAAGAGCAAACTGCTCTCTCTCTCTCTCTCTCCCTCTCTCTCTCTCTCTCTCTCTCTCTCTCTCTCTCTCTCTCTCTCTCTCTCTCTCTCTCTCTCTCTCTCTCTCTCTCTCTCTCTCTCTCTCTCCCTGTGCCCTAGAAATGTATTTAGTAGCCCCTTAGTGTTTGGACTATGGTGTTGTGCCATGGGTCTGAAAGGTGCTGCAATAGGTTGTCAAATGGCCCCCTCCCTGTCACATTGTATTGCACCACCATCCCCAAAAATGCCAACATTGCCAATCTCCCTGCAAACACAATTAAGAGGCAAGTGTGTAAGTTCTAGTGAAAATTCATGTCTCATATCCCATCGAAACGGGTAACCACGGGAACACTGGTGCTGTTTTGAAAACTCACCATTGGCGAGCTCCTTCTCCTTGGCTTCAACAGTGGGAGCAAAGTTGAGGGGGTTGAAGATGCCGCCGGGGTAACCCACTTCATTAGGGGGCAAGCTGTACTGCTTGAAGATCGGGTCCTGGTTGACGCTCCCCGGGTTCTTTATGTCCTGCCATCTCCGGATCTCGACGTAATGGAACAGGATGAACTCAATCACAAACAGGGTAGAGGAAGATGCAAAGTACTCAGCCTTCCCTGCGTCGAACCAGGTGGGCACGTTGATGATGCCAATCTTGGTGAAAACTTCCGGGAGCAGCATCCCTGTGACCCCGAGCATCGCCCACCGGCTGTTCACGAGCTCCGCTTGGATATACCATTTCAGGTTCTCCGGGTCCTCAGCGAGACCGAGCGGGTCGAATCCATTGTCACCTGGAAGGCTGAACATAGACATCTACTGAGTTTTGAGTCCCTACATAGTTGGATCTCTAATTCCAGGAACTAATTTCAATCTGAATTAAGGGACGGCAACTTTCTCGAGCAGAACAAAAGTTCTTTACAACTATTCTAGAGATTTTGCCTTTAATCTGTATTATTTGAATTTCTAAGGCATGTCTCTCCCATGCAAAACTTGAAAGGCTGAATTACTGCTACTTTATTTTACTTGACTAAGTGCCACATGACTAATGCATCATACTTTTTTTTTGTTTGTCATGTGATGCTGCAAAAAAAAACCTCTTTTGACCCATGTTTGAACTGAAGACCAGACTGTCCTCGTAGTTTACAATATAATAATGATCTAGCACTTCAATATCATGTTCTGCTGGGAGATCTTATATAGGATGAAAGATTATGAAAGCTTATACAGTCGAATTAGTACCTTCCATTGAGGTAACCTGGTGAGGCTAGACCAGGCAACCATTCCCCTTTCTTGGCCTCAACCTTGAAAGAAGCAGGTGATGAAGTCGATGGCAAAGCTTTGAGGCTGACCTCTCTGTTCAATTTAGGCGACGAGCCGGTCAAGAACCGGGCCTTCGATGAGCAAGGCCGGAACACGGCAGCTGAGGCCTGTGTGGTGACTGTGGCCATCTTCTTCTCCAACCCAAGGTTGTGTGTATTGAGCAAAAAATTGGGAGTCCTTGTAAGGGAAGAGAGTTGGAGTTTTAGAAGCTTGAGAGTGCAGTGCCTGTCTTTGCATGCCCTTTGTAATTTGATTTCATGGCAATACATGTGGCTCATGTGCAACGTTGAAAGTGGACGGTTGGTTTTGGGTGGTGTTGGGGATCCAACGGCTGAGATGGGCTGTGGTGGGGAATCGACCAATGGGAGGGCTTGGCTCTTATCCTTTTATCTGATTGCAATATCTCCATTGATCTGTTTCTTTGCTTCTGTTGGTTGTGAAAGATACCGTGGGGCCTTTTGCATGCCACACATGATTTAGATTTTTTGATCCAAAGAAATCATGAAAAAAACAAAATAGTTGCACTGAACTAAAAGCCCACGAGTCCGTGGCCAAAAACTCCAAGAAAAGTCCGTAAGTCAAAATTTGATGGCTCGATTTTTCTTGATAGTTTGGAAGTGCTGGGCTGAGACAACCCCAAATTCAAGATTGGGCTGATTGTTATAGTAGAACATGATTGCTGGGCTAATGCAAGCTCCTTTTGGAGCCCTTGATATGTCATTTTAGGGCTACAGACAGAGAGAGAGACAAACACCATACCTTATATTCCAAACTGACAAACCATAAACCAGGAAGAACTAGCCTTTACAGTTCAGTGCTCACCGAACCATGACTAAACATTTGAAAAGGCAAAACAAAAGGCTCATTACAATGCTCCATCCATGGTAACTTCACCAATGGATGAGACACAACACAACACAACCAGATAATAAATGACTGTTGACTCATGAAGGGTGGTGACATTACTCGGCACCCCACCACAGCCACCTTCACTGTTCTGTTCTTTTCTTAAAGTAGACCAGAACAGATTAGACAAAGCCTTAATGGTCACATGATGAAGGCCATCCTAAAATAATCCTTTTATCACGTCTTAATTAACATGATTGACCCCTTATGTACTACAAGTACTAACTACACAATTCTTGTCCTAATTGGACCCTAAACTACTAGCAAAGCCCAGGGTACTAGACATTGTGCTCAAATTCACGCAAACTGCCGGCCTGCAAAGGTCTGGCCGAAGGACCAATTGGGGGGCGCCACGTCATTGGAGAACACGGTCCGTCCATCACTGGTGGTGACCGAAAAGGAGAGGCTCTGTCCGTTGAGGTTTGAATTGCTCTGCCAATTCTGGCCCCAGTTCCGGGACATGGGTTGCCAGCCGGTCCGTGAGCCCTTGATCGAAACAGAGCGGACGTCCCCTGCACCTCCAACATTGGTGATTAGGACCAAGTTGAAGTACGAGTGACCATTCACGGTGAATCTGATGCCTCCCTTCTTTTGACATGGTACCCTACCACAAGAAACATTGAAAAGATTAGCTGCGCCAATTAATTGTTTAATATATCTATGCAATTATGTGTAACATCATGCATTCAGTTTTAAAATTGAAGCCCATAACTTTGGGCGTAGAATTAAAGTGAACTAATAAAGAGCATAATAAATTTGCAACCTCCTATAAACCACAGGGACAATCCCAGAGCTGTACTGGGCAATCTGCTGGAACACAGGCTGGGAAAGATCAAAGTGGTGGAGAGGCGGGTTGCACCAGCCACCGGCATTGTTGGAGAGTGCGTTGTTCGGCGGGCAGAAGTTGGTGGCGGTGACAACAATTGAGCCTGGGTTGCACCACCGCGGGTCATTGACACACTTGATCTCGAAGCAGGCCCCGCAGCTCAGCCCACTGTTGAACAAGGCAGTGCTCAGGGCCGCCGTGTTCGTGCCATAGCCCTGGCTGTACAAGTTCCCATAGCCACAAGCCCCACCTAGCCACGAAAGAAAGCGTTGCCAAATTGATTATGGGCGTTGAATAATTGCCTCAGTATAACGTTTTAATTTTATCAAATGGCTCTCATTAGACTAATGCAATCTCTCATACAGGGCACTGCGTGTATGGATTAAGCCTACAGGGCTGATTTTATGGATCGACAAGCATGAATAGATCCTTATGTGTGACCGTTAGCCGAATGTCTAAAACCCGTCGTGGAAAGAGTTATGTCTTGAATTTGACTACGTGACCAATTATTTCGCAAAAATTGAACATATGCAAAAGAATTAGTTAATAAGTACCCATTGTGCCAGAAGCGTCCCCACCACCGTAGAAGGTTGCATGCGCATCGATCCAGCCATCACCATATCCATGAACAGATGAGCCCAAACAAAGCAATCCCACCAAGAGTACCCCAAGAAAAGCCATTTTTTCTTAGCCCTTCCTGTTCGTGCAAGCAGAAAATGATAGTTAGTTAGCTCTTTGCATGAAATGAACATGCCATATGGTTTATTCACGTAAACTAAGCTAAACTAAGATGTCTTGAGGGAAGGCGCAAACCTTAGAGAGTTGCTGAATTTTGATAGACTAAGGAGGGAGGAGAAGTTGGAGTGCTGTGGAGCAAAACAAGAGGGTTTAGGAGGGATTATATAGTGAAAGTACTGCTGCGAGATACAGAGAGCGCTCCCCAAGGAAACTGACTCTTTTCCTCCCTTTCCTTTTCCCTTTTTCTTCCGTATGCGTTGCGGTGGGGACCTTAAACCCCCAAGTGCAAGGGTTGTTTTGTCTGTGCCAAAACAGAGCTGCGTCTCTTCTGACCACGTGGTTTCGGTAGTCTGTCTGATGATTAGATCTTGATCACTTGTCATTCATACGATCCATTCATAAATGGTTAGAAAGAGACTGTTCTGTGGGGGTCGGTCGTTTTGTCCATTTCTTGCTCCCCTTTGGTGCAGTTTTTTCCTCCGAGGTAAAAGCTGTGAAAAAGTCTCACTTACGTTCCAAGGCAATTATATGGAAAGAGTCCACTTTTACAGCATCTTGACTTTAGGTCCTAAGCATGACGTTACAAGGCTTCATCCCAATTTTCGTTCGGACTTTATCTTGATTTAAAGAGGTGATGCAAAACATTATTTGATACATAAGATACTTTTTTTGTGTTCTTCACATACCATGAACTCTACAATATCATGGCTACTCAAACTTAATCAAGGCAATAGTTTTCTTACATCGCCGCCATGAGCACATGCGTTGCAGAAAACAAAGCCTTATATTCACCAGAAACAGTTAAAGCCGACGGAGTGCAGTATTTGCATTTCCCATGTCTTGATCACACAGACTTCCAACCTTTAGCTGGCTATTTCAGAAAACCATGGACACCATACATTTATACACATGGGGAGACATTGACTATAGCGTATACACATACAATACATAGATACTTAGTAAAAGATCCATCGGAAAGGACTATATAGTCATTTTCAAGGAACTCGCTAATTAGGGTTTCTTCTTTAGTTTACTTGTTTATCTCTATCATGAGTACAGTTACTTGCAAGATTGACCCGTTCCATACTGGAAACAATCACACGAGATCTTTTGATAACATGGATTCCTATTTCTCAAGATAATTGTCCAAAAAATTATAAACATATTGTACAGCAGTCAATCCAGTCATAACTCTTTCAATTGTGTCAATTTAATCATAAACTTTTTAACTATTTGTCAATTTAGTCATAAACATTTCTTTGTATCAATTTAATCCTAAACCTTTTTAAAAAATTTCATTTTAGTCATAAACCTATTATTTGGATATTTGGCCGGAAGATTACTTTGGCAAATCGTCAAAAGATTTAGGACTAAATAAACACAATCGAAAGGTTTAGGACTGAGTTGATCTCCATATAATAGGATTAGTACTTTTTGGACAATTTCCCCCCTATTTCTTAATGATTTCCCACAATCACGAAACTTCCGGCTGATGACAAGTGACCTTAAGCAAATGAAGGAATCGGTTACATTTTTCTCGTGATAATATAAACGAGTATACTTTTGACAAAAAAAAAAAATATATATATATATATATATATACACACACGAGTATACTGCAATCTCATTGCATAAATGATGAAAAGAAAAAGACTTGTTCAAAGCACGTCATTACATACATTAAATGAGCCTACGAAAACTAGTCCAACAAAGAGGACAGTCCAAATTCCGACCGACCCACCACCCTCAAAAACCTCGACGACCCAACGTCGGTCATGTGATGACTCACTGCGTTGTCATGTGAAATGGAGAAGAAGAAGAACAACTTCTTTGACACTGCGAGTGTGACAATGTTGACCCATTATTTATTACTTCTCTCTGCATGAAACCGAGAGAGGGAGAGAGGGAGAGAGGTACGGGGAAAAAGATATCCCGACATCCCAAAACCCTAATTCATTGAATGTTATCTGTTACACGGCAGTTGTGAGGTTGAAGAAGAAGAAGAAGAAGAAGAGCGAGCGAGCGAGCACGTGGCTGCTGATGCTTCTCTGCGATGCATGTCTACATCTGCACGTTGCTGCATTGAAATAACAAAACAACAGACAGCTCTCATTCATTGTGTCATCCTCATTTTAGTGTCATTCTTTATTTTCACACCCGTGAAAAAAGGAAAAAGAAAAGAAAGCTTCGATTTTATAGCAGTCCACGTTCAATTCTTTTTATTATCATAAATCTTGGCAAGGAGGACAGACTTAAGAATTTTAATAGGGTTTTCATAAAAAGTATATCTGGTATGCGATTAAGAAAAATTGCACCGAACACCTAATGATCGAGTTCTAGGTTACGGGCACGCACCATCCCTCCTCAGGTCTGCTTTGCTGAGGTACGTTACATCATTTTTTTTCCTTTTAAAAATTGATTTATCATGCAGAAATATCAATCTCAAATTGTAATAACTCTGTAGGACATAACATTTTTGGAAATGATGGAAACATATATCTTGGAAATATATTTACAAGTTGAGGCCAAAAAAATAATAATAAAGAGAAAGTTGAAATTTCCAAACCCATGGGCAACGAGAGGAGAGAGATAGACAGAGAGAGACACCAAAAAGTGCCTTGACATGCATCCAATCGAAATCATGTGATGTGAATCTTCTTGGGTTGCTTTTTCAGGCTATATCAGCACTTTGCTTTCCCTAGTTTTTGTTGCATCTCCGCATGGATTTCACAGCTTTCTGTGCATTCTAAGGTCCGTGAACAACACATTTTTATCTCATGATTAGATAGCCATGGAAGACATTTTCTTGTTCTTAGGGCTTGAATTGGACCAACTGAATGACGACCTTATCTGCTTCAAGTGTTGGACTAGCAGCTAGGAAAGTTGCAGAGTGCACTCGCAACGATGATAACGCTGTTCTTTATTGCTTACCACAATGCAATGGATAGATTTTAGAAATATGTATAGAATAATCCGACAGTATAGTCTAGCTAGCAATTGCACAGGCAACCACCCTACGAGCACAGACGATCAATTTCACGGTGAATTGCCTATCAAGGAGGACCACGAGTGACCCACTGCGATGGTGGTCTCCTATGTTGTGGCGGTGGACGACCATTTCGACTACCCACGACGATAGAGATGGAAATGGGGGCAAAGAGAAATCTCAGGCAAGAATCACAACAGGATTGCACCTTGTGCAATTATCATGCGGTCAACTCATCTACTATGATGACGCACGCAACGTAGTAAGAAAAGCGATAAACGGTGTTTATATCAGCTTATTCAATAAGATTTTGCCCAAATGGTGCGACATTTGGCATATCATGAGTCATGGCGTGCTCAATTACCTTTTGACCTCGCTACGTTACATCTCTCTCACACACATTTCTTTTTGCGATGTCTCTTTCTCCATAAAGGTCTGTACGAGATGATAACAACGTCATGGCATGCTCAATTATCTCTTAACCTAGCTATGTTGGGCTCTTTCGTTTTGCTTGCTTGCCCGTATTTGCCTCTCTTTGAGACGATTTCCTGTTCTCCCAGTAATGTTTTCTGCAGACGGGATTATGAAGATAAACCAAAACACTGCCATCATAAACCCCTTTCTTCACCTGCCATTGAAGGAAAACAGGGCCAAGAGACATTGTTTTTTAATATGGATCTGGTCCTTTTCTAAAGCCATCCTTGATTCGAAGACAACCGTTGCTTTTCATGAGAAAACAACACATCGTGAACACGGCACTGAGCTGTCGTGTCGAGGATCGATTCACTTTGACGAAACCATAATCCAAGAAGACAACTTCTGGGCATGCATTGGCGTTAACACAAGAACTGGTTTTTCACTAGAAACACCAAGGAACAACCTCAACTTTCTTGACGACCAATATCACTGTCGAACCAAAAGAACGAAAACTGAAAAGACATCCCTTGTGTCGTCTCCTTCGCATCGAGACTAAAAAGCAATAAAAAAAAATAAGAACTGGAGATGCGGGGTATCGATCCCCGTACCTCTCGCATGCTAAGCGAGCGCTCTACCATCTGAGCTACATCCCCATTGTTGGAGATCGGATAAATTATAATTTTATTTGCTTCTTAAACGTCAGATGCTACAAGAGTCGCGCGACCGTCCGTGAAATGCTCGACTATCGGACACGAAACGAAAGACGTGGAGGACAACCGCTCGGTCCAGTTCAGCTGTGGCAATGCCTACCGCACACTTGTTCCGGCTTATATCATTTACCCATGCATGCAATTGCAATACGACCGCACACGCTCTGTCGTTTTTTCGCAGTCTCTTGGCTTCACCGATGATGGATTTGGCGATCGTTACGTGACGATACGACAGTGCAATGCCCATCTTCGTCTCATCTGATCTCCACCCTTTTGGACAAAACCCAAGTCTTGTCCAAAGACAATGACATTCACTTTAGCTTTTCTGTGAATACGCCCCATCATCGTCTGCGACTCTGCGTATAAGGTTGTCGTTGTGATTACACCGGTGTCCTCCTCGCGACAAATTTACAGATGTTTTAACGCGATTACCACCTTAAATCGAGCAGCAATTAAAAGTTAAGTGTCCATGATCGCGACCGACATTTCGTACCTCATCCTCGACGATAATACATTCGATCGCGATGTCATTTCGATGTGTGCCTGAACAGAAAATACCTGAAGAAGATACATCAGCTCACGCACCAAGGCCGAGGCATATGAATGCAGGGTTGAATGCCGCAAAGCTCGCTCTTGATAGTAGGCCAAAACGAAAGGTCTGTATCCCATCATCAAAAGGTGCTCTTCGAGACATTTTTCTTCCTATTTTAGAATCAATCACAACCATCAAACGGGAGGATGGGACTTATCATGGCCTTTTTTCTTCTGCCAAGGAGAAAATATTAGGTGGTCTAGACAATTCACGTCGGCATGGTCCCAGACCACTCTTGAAGCGCCACGTGGAGCTGTGGAGCCGGCTCGCCTAGATGAAATTACTGCACAAAAAATAATTTCTCTCTCTCACTAGCTTGCCACTCACCCTTGCGCCCTCTCTCTCCTTTGCACACATTTATTTTTTCTCTTAGATTCTCTCTCTTGGTCTTCGTTCTTTCCTTTTCAGAAGAAGAAGAAAAGCCAACCCTTTTTCCTCTCTCTAACGAAGGCTTTCTTTCTCCGGAGAAATGTTTTCAAATTTTGAATCTCTACTTTTACTCTCAGATTTTACTACTCCGCGCTCGTAGTTGTTGTTTAGGCGTTCCTTGCTGCTCCAGCGTTCGTCAAGCGACAGTTCCCCCGCCGTCGCTGACAAAGCACATTAAGGTCGCCCATGCTCCGACGAAGCAAAGTTCTCCCTCTCTCGTGAATTCAAAAGTTTATGTCCCTCGTCCTTGCTCTCTGCTCCAATGCTCGCTCCATCTCTACTCTAGCGCTTGCTCACTCTCTACTCCGTTGCTTGTATTAAAATAATTAAATATTAAATCACGCATTCATTTAACAGCTTCAGCTTTTAAAACAGTTAGCAATAGTCCAACCAATATCTCACATGGTATCAGAGCTGAATGTCATGAGTTTGAATCTTTTCAGACCCCATTTATCTCCCCAATTAAATAAATCCTCGCTTAATACTAGGCAAAAAGACCAAACGAATCGTGCCTTCATCTAATAGCTTAAGCTTTTAAAACAGTTGGCAATGGTTCCACAAAATCTCATAGCTCGCTCCGTATTTGCTCTAGTGCAAGTCGCCATGTCTCTTGAAGTACCGTCAGATTTCTAGTCAGCAGTTTTCGGAGGGTTGGTTCGGAAGAGGGAAGACTCTACAAAGGACGTGGAAGGCAAGGATGATGAGAGCCATCTTGGCGCCCCAGAGAAATTGGCACTCGATAGCTTGGTCAATTAGCTCCAAAGCTGTGGTAACTATATATCTATGATTTCCCGAATTACCATTTACATGTTCCTCTAATAATTTGTGATACTTAAAGATGGGTTTCTAGTTTTAGGCTAGAGTATGTTCTTATCTTTTGCTTTCATTTGTCGTTACACGGAATCCATTTGAGCAGGAGTTTCTCAAGAGCTACATATCTTGCTTGTATCCCTTCAACTCTATCTAATAGGCACACTTGTTATGCCCAATTGATTGGGCTCTTCCTGATCCTGACCACATAACTCCAAACCTGCTCCTTCAGCCCTATTGAAGTCCAATCCTTTATGTTGAATCCTGAGGTGTATAAAAGTTTTCTCCTTCTTGTTCTAGGCGATCATCTCCTACTTCACTTGTCGATCTTGGCCTTAGATTCATGTTTCAAGCGTGTTGTTCTCAGTTTTGGGACCTACATTCAGCAGACAACGAGTCTCCTCTATTTGTCTATTTATCATGATGAGTTGGAGAATGCAAACCCTAACGTGACGTTTGGTGCTCTATTGGATTATAGAATAATATTGGTTCAGTATGAAGAAAGGAAATTGACACAAATGGGAAGAAAGAAGAAGGAGAACAGAGATTATTTCTTCCTTCCCCTATGCTCGATTTCACTAAGGAAGAAATGGTTCTCCTTTTTCTTCCTTTTTTCTCTTCTATTCCCTTCTCTAATGTTTTTTTGGGGAGTGGGAAGGGGAGAGAAAATGAGATATGGGTATACAAAATCTGAATATTTTGCAAAAACCTTTGCATTATTCTCTTCCTTCCATCTCTACATAGCATAAGAGACGCTTCTTTTCTTTTTACTTTTTAATATGAATATTCAAATGTTGATGCATATTAATTTTCGGAAGTTGGAAATGTTTAAAACAAATTTGATACGTTAACTTTGGACATCGAGCTCTTGTCATTTTATATTACTTCCTTGAAGCATGACCCTTTATAAACTATTTGAATTGATTGTTTTTTCGCTTATATATGTTTACTTCAATTTTTCAAGCGAGCAAGCACCAAAGCCAAGACAGAGCAATTGCCAGAGCAAAAAGCAAGTACGAGGGACATAAACTTTTAAATTCACAAGAGAGGGAGACCTTTGCTTCATCGAAGCATGGGCGAGCTTAATGTGCTTCGTCGGCAACAATGGGGGAATGGCCACTTGACAAATGCCGAAGCAACAACAATGAGTGCAGAGTAGCAAAACTTGAGAGCAAAAAGTAGAGATTCAAGATTTGAAAGCCTTCCCGGAGAGAGGAAAGAGGGTTCTTTTTTTTCTTCTTCTGAGAAAGGAAAGAAGGAAGAAGATGAGAGAGAATGTAAGAGAAGAACTAGATGTGTGCATAGGAGAGAGGGGGGGGGGGGGGGCAGGGCTAGTTTGCAGACATGTGAGAGAGAAGATTACTTTTTGTGCAAAAATTCCATCTTGGCAAACTGGCCCCACAGCTCCACGTGGCACTTCATAAGTGGTTCGGGACCATGCTTGTCAGGTCTCGAACCACTCACGGTCGATGCTTGTTGACCGACCATGACCGGAACGAGCCCGTGAAGCATAGACAATTGTTAAAACGCCTGGTTGATTTTAAATTGAAACGCAACGAAAGCGAAAGCAGAATAAACGAGACAAATCCAAGCAATTAAAGCAAACGGTGCACGTTGTATTTACATGATGGACTCGTACTTATTTTACATGCCCTATCTCGGGCCAAGCAAGCCGCACACTAGATTTTTCACATGCCTATTTCAAAGGCACCTCCGAGTACAAGCCATATAAACAACAAAATTTGGCTTGGGTCCCTAGCTTCTTTACGGCTACTAGCTTCTCGCTCTCGCTCACTCCTCCCCGCCCTCGACCGCATGGCCGTCCTCACGCCCCGCCCATGGCCGATCCAAGAGCCGACCCGCCCGTGCCATCAAAGGGACCGCTAAACCCACGAAGGGGTCCGACCCAATCCCCGTTGGCTAGGCGATACCAAGCCACGTACGGGTGCGGGACAAGGTCTCCCGACCTTCGTCAACTATAACGTAGGTCGTAATCCTGCGATAGGCACAGTTCTCACGGGCATCGATCACCGTCAGGAGCTCGGCTCTCATCTCGATGGGATTGCCAAACCGGATCGGGGGTGACGCCATTCTACGGACCTGAAAAACAGGAAACAACGGGGAGTGAGTCGAGGAGACTCAGCAAGTGAAAACTCTAATAACAAACGAGGACATATCGATCGCCGTTACACGAACCATTTCTTACCGTACCGGCCTTAGTAGCCAATCAAACAATAACGTGCATACCAAGCATAACACAAGAACTTCAAGCATGGCTAGTTCACGGTTTACCTCATTTGTCGCGCCTCGGTTTCTATTTTGGTATTAAGTAATATGCAAAACCATGAAACAAGGCAAACTCGTTATAGAAAACGCAACATTGAAACACCAAGAACCGAGAAACGGTGGAACCCTCATGATACAACGTATCTCAATGTCAT